ATTAGTTTCTGTGCTGAAACAAGGGGGTAAGAAGAGTGTCGGTACAGCGTCTTGGGCCCTAGACTTCTGCTCCGTATTCGCCCCATCACCCATAGTCCACCACCTTTTCTCTCCCCACCCTCTAGTATGGGTACGAATGCACCCACTCTCCATGCCATCATTCACCTTTGTGCCCAGCTCTGGTTTCTCTGCATTGCCCCATTCGCTGCCCTCCGTCCTTTCCCTCCATGAAGGCCCTTTCGGATCTGATGCACGACAGACACGGCCCATAACAAAGCACGAGTGCAAGTCAAAGGCTAGGCTTCAATAGGGGGACAAAGCCAATGAGGGATTACCCTGTGCATTGCAACGCCTCGAAGGTTTGCGTGCCTCAGTTTCTCCTCTGCAGAAAGGGCGATAAAGGCTGAGCAGATTCCAGGCCCAAAGTTTCATAGTTGTTAGAGGCTGGAAGGGTCCAGCCGTCCGGAGGTAACAAAAGCTCAAACCAGCCCATGCACATAGTTGGGCACCCACTGGACTGTCAGTGTTAGAAATATGGGGGTCCTTAAATGGAAGAAGTGGGATTGGGGTTGGGAGCTCCTTTCCCCTCCTGGCAGATGCCCCACTCTTGCCAAGATCAGCTATAATACATGGGTAGCTTCTTCCTCCTGGCACTGCCAACTCTCCTGACCACGCTGGATCCGGATAAACCCCCAGGCATCTCCCTCCTTTGACATGTTTAAGACCGGATAGACAAAGCCTTGGCGGGGATGGTGTAACTGGGGCTGGTCCCGTTTGGAGCAGAGGGTTGGACGAGATGTCCGATGACTGGGAAACTTGAGTTCATAAAAATTATACTACAACATATCACCGACAAATGCATAGTACAAGGAGAGATAAGTTTGTGGTTAGGATTTTCAGAAAAGAAATCATGAGGTGTCGCTTGCAGCTTATCTTAGTACACCTCTGATGATTTTAAGCAGGCTCCCATGTGTCTGGTATTTGTCTGTGTTAAATGTCTATCCTTGATTAGTGACTATGGTAAATATACTTCTTAATAATTAACTCACATTTATGTGCAGGAAGAGACGTTTTCCATATGGGGCTGGATAGCTGTCTCCTGATTTACTTTTTTTTTCCCCCCGTGGTTCCCTTGATCTTCCACGGGCAAGTCTGGAAAAGCGCTGTGTGTTTCTGCCGGTCGTTAACCCATTTCCTGACACGTTCCTACTCCGCAGCGTTTGATAACCTCCTGTTACCAAGTAAGGTCCTTCACTCAAAATTGGGCCTTTCCAATAACAAATAACGAAAGGTTGCAAACAGGACCTTCCTGTTCGTTTTTGCATAATTGGGTTTTTTTTCACTCATCTACAAAAAAATGCTTTGAAAACGCGGAGCTGTAGGGTATTAAGAGGAACGAAGCAACTATCAGGAATGAGAAATCATTCAAGCCAAGACTTACGTGTCCAGCTGCTCTTCCAGCGACGGATCCACGCCTTGAAAAGCTGAAAAGAGTGAAAGCACCTCTTTGCCTGTATTGCTATTGCTTCTACAGATAAACATACTGAACTTTTGCTTTGGGCTCATTTCATAGTAAATAGTCTAAGTAAATAAAGCTTTTTTGTCATTTATTGGATCAGTTGTGTCAATCCTTTAATACACTAGTTCTCATTCCCAGAATTAGTCTTGTTTTTAGGTATGTAGGGAGTAAAAGGCAGGTGCAGGGCAGCATGGGACCCCTTTTGAACAAGCAGGAGCAATTAGTGACAGAGAGGGGGGACAAGGCTGAGCTATTCAATGAGTTTTTGCCTCAGTGTTCATGAACAAGGGTCAAGGTAAGTCTCCTAATGGGCTCTTAGATGGGCATCAGAGGGACACCAGCCCACGACTGTCGATGCTGGCTTGGTGCAGAGTCACTTGGATGGACTGGATGTGTTCACGTCGGCAGGCCCGGGTGAGCTCCATCCGAGGGTACTGAAGGAGTTGGCTGGTGTCATAGCAAAACCACTGGCACAGCTGTCTGAGCACTCGTGGCACTCGGCGCAGGTCCCGGAGGACTGGAAAAGGGCCAATGCGGTCCCTATTTTCAAGAAGGGGAGGAAGGAGGATCCGAGTAATTACAGACCAGTCAGTCTCACTCCATCCATGGAAAGGTCTTTGAAAAGATTATGAAGGATCATATTTGTGGGAGTCCTGCAGGAAAAATAATGGAGCAGGGAAACCAGCGTGGATTTGTAGCAGGTAGATCATGCCTGGCCAACCTGGTTTCGTTTGATGACAGGGTCACAAAACGCTTAGACGCAGGAGTAGAGGTGGATGTCGTTTTCTTGGATTTTAGCAAGGCCTTTGATACAGTATCTCATCCCATTCTCATCAATAAATGAAGAGACTGTGACATAGATGATTACACGGTCCGGTGGGGGGCAAACTGGCTTGGGGGTCGCACTCAGAGCTTGGTAGTAGATGGGTTGGTATCGAACTGGAGGGATGTCGCAGTGGGGTCCCGCTGGGCTCGGTCCTTGGACCTGTGCTCTTCAATGACTTCATCAGTGACTTGGACGTGGGTGTGACGTGTACTCTGTCCAAGTTTGCGGATGATACTAAATTGTGGGGTGAAGCGCACGCTCCGGAGGGCAGGGAGCGATTGCAGGCAGACCTGGACAGGTTAGAAAAGTGGGCAGTGCACAACAGGATGCAGCACAACAAGGACACATGCAGAGAGCTGCACCTAGGGCGCAAAAATATCCAGCGCATCGACTGGCTGGGCAGCGACCCTCTCAGCAGCACAGCAGCGGAAAGGGATCTGGGAGTCATTGTGGATCCAAGATGAACATGAGTCGTGCGTGTGACGACATCACCAGCAAAGCTAACCGCACGTTACCATGCACCAGCAGACGCACGACGAATAGATGCAAGGAGGCGACACTTCCCCTCTGTGCGGCGCTGGTCAGACCGCAGGTGGAGTACGCGTCCAGTTCTAGGCACCACGCTTCAAGAAGGGCATTGATAGACTCGAGAGGGTCCAGAGGAGGCCACTCGTGTGGTCAGGGGCTTACAGGACAAGCCCAACGAGGAGAGACTGAGGGCCCTGGACCTCTTCAGCCTCCGCAAGAGAAGGCAGAGAGGGGACCTTGTGGCCGCTTACAAATTCGTCGGGGGGATGCAGCAAGGGATTGGAGATGCTCCATTCACCAGGGCACCTCTTGGGGTAACAAGGAGCAATGGTCACAAACTGACAGCAGATTTAGGCTGGACATCAGGAAAATCTTCATGGTAAGGGTGGCCAAAATCTGAAATGGGCTCCAAGGGAGGTGGTGCTCTCCGCTCTCCCCTGCCTTGGGGGTCTTTAAGAGAGGCTGGACAGGCATCTGGTGGGGTTGTTTGAAACCCAGCGCTCTTTCCTGCCCAGGCAGGGGGTCGGACTCGATGATCTGTTGAGGTCCTTTCCAACCTGAACATCTATGGATCTATGTCTTGCAGACCACCATGCCACCCGGCTTTTAACTGGAGACCCCGCCAAGGCCTGGGGCAAGCTGTGGGCCACTGGTGCAAGGCATATTGTTGCAGCAAATATCTACAATGGCAAATCAGGACGAGTAGGAGAAAGGCAGGGATGGACGCAGTGCACAGCTCATGATTGAAGCACCTTCCCTGTGGGTCTAGAGCAGTGCTATGGCACCCTGGGGTACATTGCTATCCTTTCCAGGGCAATGCACAATGTTAGCTGGGCAGTCTCAATTCACAAGATAAACCCAGAGATTTATCTTGGGAGAGGTGGCGGGATCTCCATCCTTTAAAGCCAGGTAGAAAGCGAGTTTTTAAACCTAGTGCCCCAAGACTTGACACGACACCTGGTTGAACAATAGCAGAACGGCTTTAATAACAATGCCACAAG